GGCATGAATGGACTACTGTAGGTACAAAGCAGTACCTAAACTAAATGTTTAGAAAGCCATTTCGCCAACACACCAACACTTTATTCTTCTAAGGAGTCCTGAATATTTTTGATATGTCCCAGAGACAGGACCTCCATTGTACACCTCTATCCTCTCACCAGAAGGTTACATCTCTAAGAGTACAATGCACCAAAATTTTGACTGAGCACTGGGGAAAAAAAATTTCACCCTCTTTATTAATTCAAAAAGCTCTCTGCTCTTTCTCTTTCCTTGGTGTCTCCAGTTTTCAAATTGAAACAGACCTAATATGACCCACTCATGGGGTTGCAGCACAAAGTAGAATCACAACAGGTCTTCTGACTTTCTCAGTAAGTTTACTGAATTAACCTGTTCTTCTGTGGTCAGACATACAGCAAGAAGAAAATCTTAGCTTTAATTTGTGAGAGCTTAGACGTACTGAGTGCTGTGCATCTTTTCTTAGTCAGCGATGAAAAAGTCTGCAAGAATCCTGCCATTCTAATGGCAAAGCAGGATCCCTTGAATGTTTTTACCTCGGCTGACTAAAATTCACAACTGACAGGATGGCCAGTATACAAGCTGGAGTTCTCTGCCTTGTGACTGGTTTCCCGTGTGACTCGACACAAGCATCCATGCTGCACTTCCACAGCAGTCAAAAAAGTGCAACGGCATGGTTTAACTTTTGAGAAAGATGATCGGCTTCACACGGGTTCCGAGATATATGGGACCACAGGGCTCTGAATAGTTCAGTGGGCTTTATCCCCATATCACTCATAGAGACGGGCAGACATCCTATTTGCCATTTGTTTGCTGGAATGCCTTCTCATGATGTACTCTTGTTTGTATTCTGCTGAAATCAGCAGGATCACTCTTAATCCTGCATTGATACATGTGTATGAAAGTTAACAGTAAGTTCACAGGGCATATTATGGAGGGAATATGTGTGGGTCTGTATTTAAATAAATTAGAAAACCGAAAACAAAACAACAACAGCAACAACAACAACAACAAAAGAAACAAAACCAAACAAAACCAATCCTAGGAATACTGAAGATAAGCACGCAGGATGGGATTTTTAAAGATGCAGAGTGCTTGCCAAGCACAGATAGATGCAGATTTATTGGTAGGTGGAAGAAGTCAGCAGAATGATAATAAGCAGATTTTGTCGATTAGAAGAAGGAGGCAAACACACAGGCTGTAACAATGCCTTGCTGGTGCAATACTCAATTTTTAGTCTGCACAATGCATCTCTTCCCATTTCATTTTCTTCAAAGCAAGGCCAACTTTGGACTGAGCACTTAGCTCAGTACTGAGCCTGTTTCAAAATGACACCCCAAAACTTATACTTTAAAACATACCCAAATAGACTGAATTTTATTTAATGCTATTTTAAAGGTATTTCTCTCATTAATACAGAACAACAGATATAGATTGGTTTTGTACTCTGTAGAATCTTTAGGTGTTTAAATATGGACAGATAAGATCAGGATACTACACCTAGTGAGAAAAGAAAAGGTAAATATTACCATACAATTCATGCTTTCTTCCCAGAATGGAAGCAGTCTAGACACAACCTACAATTTTCAAGTGCAAAGGCATTTTTTGTCATTCTTGGGCCTTGTCTCTGTTGTTGTCTCTCTCAGTACCAAACGGTGCTTCAAAAACTACAACGTGTCATTCTCAGTCTAGCAATGAAATGAAAATATAGATAAAGATCATCCTTCTTGGTGAGGAGAAAAGGGCAGACTCAAATCTGTTATAGAAAAAAGCTAGTTTCTTATTAATGGTAGATTTGTGATGTAACCGTGCCTTAGAGCAGATTACATTCAGCATCAGAAAGGAATCATAAAGTGCAATTCAAGAAGTGCACTTAGGCATATGCTTAAAGTTCAACTTCTGCGTTACTGAACTAAGATTCAGCAATTCCAATTTCAGTTGCTTCATTAGATGCTAATCTAAATAAATATAAAAGCACGCACAATCATGAATAAGCCAGATTTTTTTAACTTTTCCTCTCCTTTGTGTGACCGGCCAAACAAAGTGCAATAAAACTAATGAAAGCCAGGTAACTACCACTGCTGCTGTTACCACACCCCTATCAAAAACTAACTAATTTCCTCAGTCCAGAGGCAGAGATTCCAGTGATTATTTCTAACACTGATATTTGTTCAAATACTTTCTACAGTTCTCATATACTTACACGAAACTCCAGTCACCTGTGCTACAGCTGGTATGTCTTTACAAGCTTTTCCATAAAGGTTCCCCCAGAAAATGAAGACCTGGCATTTTTTAATCACTATAAAGATACCATTACCCCTCTGCAGCTGCAAAAAGCTTTTGATTATTGGCTAGGATTTTTTTTTTTAAGGGTTTACAAGTCTCTGCAGGACTGTGTTTTAAACCCATTACTATCTTCTGATAATCATGCTGTACATGTTTATTCTACATCCAAAAGAGAGACAGTATTTAATTACCAGGACAACACTCTGAGGTCCTAAATGAAGCAATTGAAGTGGAAGTCCTAAATGAATGGATTATTTAAAAAAAATTGAATTTGGTCTATTTAACAGACTGACTTAAGTACATCTATGGCATAGTTGTCATGCTTTTGTTACCCAAGCAAACAGAAAAGACAAAAACTGGGACAAAAGTCAGTTTTATAAATGGCAAAATGGAGGAACAGAGATACAGGAGTAACATGTCCAAAGTTACACAAGAACTGACTACAGATTTCTTGTTATCTATTTCTGTGTCAATCACAAAAGACACATCCCTTCTAGAGAGTGTTCCTGCAAAGCAGTACCTTGATGGCCACACCTTCTGGAATACCACAGAATTATTTCAATAGAATGAGATGGAACAATGGAATATAATGGCAATGTACATGTAAATGGCAAAAGGGTATTTTAACCTTTTTTCTAATTTTTTTTATTAGAAAATGTGAAAATTGTGATGTTACTGATGAGTCATCAACCTTGGAGGTATTTAAAAGATATGTAGATGTGGCACTTAAGGACTTGGTTTTGTGGTGGACTTGGTAGTGCTTGGGTTATGGTTGTACTCGATGATCTCAGAAGTCTTTTCAAACCTAAATGGTTCTGTGATTCTACTTGCCATTAAACTGAGAAGAGCTAAAAAAACCCAGCATGATTCACAACTCGCCCACATGACAGTTTCTGTTTTATTTTGGAAGCCTACAAAACTCCTTCTCTAGTCACAAGGTCTCTTTTGCCTCATTCTGCTTAAGGATCCCTTTAAACTTAAATCATTACGATGTTATTTTAATCATGGATATTCTACTATATTGATAGAATAATTCTGCTACTGAGAACTGCGAGTGTTGCTTCATACATTTAGGCCATGTTCAAACAGAGCTACTGGGCCAGTAAATATACCTTAAGAGAGACTGATGTTAGCCAGCGTGACACCTATCTAGAAGAAGAACAGGATGGAGGATCTGGGAAACTACAGGCCTATCAGCCTGACCTCAGTGACAGGGAAGGTTATGGAACAGATCATCTTGAGTGTGATCACACAGCATGTGCAGAACAATCAGGGGATCTGGCCCAGTCAGCATGGGTTTTGGGAGGGCAGATTCTGATTGACCAACCTGATCTTCTTCTATGATAAAGTGATCCACTTAGTGCATGAGGGAAAAACTGTGGATTTAATCTACCTGGACCTTAGCAAAGCCTTTGATTCTGTCTCCCACAGTATTCTCCTGGGGAAACTGGCTGCTCATGGCTTGGATTTGTGCACTGTTCTCTGGGTAGTAAACTGGATGGATGGCAGAGCCCAGAGAAGGGTGGTGAATGGTGCTACCTTGGCTTGGCAGTTGGTCACTGGTGGTGTTCCCCAGGGCTCAGTATTTGGGCAAGTCCTGTGTAATATATTTATTAATGACCTGGATGAGGGGATTGAGTGCCTCTTTAGCCAGTTTGCAGATGACACCAAGTTGAGTGGGAATGTTGACATGCTGAGGGTAGGAAGGCTCTGCAGAGGGATCTGGATAGGCTGGATCAACGGGCCAAGGCCAAGGGTATGAGGTTCAACAAGACCAAGTGCCAGATCCTTGGGTGATAACAAACCCCATGCAGCACTACAGGCTGGGGGCAGAGGGGCTGGAAAGCTGCTCAGCAGAGAAGGCCAACAGCTGGCTGAACATGGGCCAGGATGGCCGAGAAGGCCAATGGCATCCTGGCTTGTGTCAGCAAAAGTGTGGCCAGCAGGACCAGGTAGGTGATGGTTCCCCTGTACTCAGCACTGGTAAAGCTGCAACTCGAGTTCTGTGTCCAGCTCTGGGCCCCTCAGCTCAGGAAAACACTGAGGCGCTGCAGCGTGTCCAGAGAAGGGCAGTGGAGTAGGTGAAGGGTCTGGAGCACAAATCCTATGAGGAGCAGCTGAGAGAGCTGGAGGTGTTTATCCTGGGGAAAAAGTAGGCTCAGAGGTGACCTTATCGCCCTCTACAACCACCTGAGGGGGGCTGTAGCGAGGTGTGTGTGGGGGTCGGTCTCATCTCCAGGTATCAAGAGATGGCCTCATGCTGCGCAGAGCACGCCTTCACCGGGCAGCGCCGCTGTCCCGCGGGGGGCCGAGGGGTGGTTGAGCTCGAGGGCTGAGCACGGCCCTGGACGACAACCCCCGACATACCCCAGCCCTCGGCCCCCCGCGGGCCGGGACCGGCCCGGCACGGAGACATGGCGGCACCGGAAGCGGCGGAGCGAGCCGGGGGCGGGGCCAGTGGGCGGGCCAGGACCCCCCGCGCCGCAGTGCCTGGCCCCGCCCCCCGCAGACCCCGCCCCCCGCAGACCCCGCCCCTCCCGGAGCCGCCGCGGGCTGAGGGGGAGGAGGAAGAGGATGAGGGGGCGCCGCGGCGGCGCTTGTGTTGGTGTTTGTGCTGCTTGTGCTGCAGCCGCGCTCGCCTGAGCGGGCCCCGCGCTCACTCCCTCCCTGCCGGCCTCGCACCGCGCCGCCGCCCCCGGGGGCGGGGGGAGTCGCGGCGAGTGGATGCCCGGCGGGCACCGCCGGGGCACAGACCCGCGGACGCCATGGGCTGCTGCAGCTCCGCCGCGCAGGTGAGCGGCCCGGCCCCCCCTCGCTTCCCCTGCCCTCCTCCGCGCCCTCGTCCCGGGGCCGTCCCTGTGGCTGCGCAGCCCCTCGTCCCCCCCGCTCTGTGCCGGCCGTGCATCCCCTCGTACCCCTGCCCGGCTTCCCCGTGGCTGCACCGCCTCGCTGCCTCCCGCCACCGGCGCCCCGCTCTCCCGTGGCAGCGCATCCCCTGCTACACCTGTAGCGCCGTTCTCCCGTGGCTGCGCGCTCGCTGCATCCCGACCTGTAACCATACTCTCCCATGGCTGGGAACCCTTTGCTTTTCCCTCCCCGACTCACACCCCACCGACAGCTCTGCTCTCCCGTGGCTGTAACACTCCCCCCCCCCCCGCCTTTGCTCTCCCCTTGCTCTTTCGTGGCTGGGAAGGACCCTCTGCACCCCCTTGTTCACCCCCCCCCCCCCATAGCCTGGATCCTATCGTGCTGCGCACTTCCACCCTCTGCGCGCTGCTCTGTGTGCTGCTTCCCCTGCGGATCAGCATCATCTTGCCCCTTCTTCCCCCAGCCCTGCCACAGCTTTGCAATCTTTACCATACCCTGCTCCCATCCCCTGCCATGGCTGCAGCTGCATACCTCCAGTTCTTACCTGCCACCGTCTTAGTGCCTTGCACCACTGTCCTGGCGTCCTCACCGCCTCCTCCCCTCTGCCATGCCTCAGTACACCTCCCTAGATAGCTCTACACGCCCTGCCCTTCCCTGCAGCATGTTCTTTGGGGTCCCTACTTGCCGCCCACCCCCCTCCCCCCCAGAGAGAGAGGCAATTTCATGGGAGGAAATCATGCCCAGGGCCTCACTCAAGTCCACTGCCCCTGGAAAGGGAGGCAGTCCTAATCCCAGCCCCCTGCTCCACTCTGTGGCCAGGGTTTCAGGTGCCTCCCTACATCCTTTTCCCTATGTGTGATTGGTTCCACGCATATCTCTTGTTTCCGAGGTCGGTTTTTCCTTCTTCCCCCTCCCCCCTCGCTCCGCTTTGCCCTTACTGACTCCTTTTTTTCCCCCAGAGTGGTGCTGCCAGGCAAGGCACTATTGGGAGCTCCACCCAACGCTCCAGTTTGCGGCTCTGCTTCCCGTTTTAACTTTCCCTTTGAACAACACGGCCAAGGCTGTGCTGTTGTTTTTGCTTGGCTCCTTTCTGAAGGCTGTAGGACGAGCGATCACGACTGATGCCTTGGCTGTGCTTTGCTCGCTTGTAAATGTTAGCTTCCTTTGGCTGTGTCACTTACGGTGGCTGAATCCAGCTTCCAGCAGACTGCTTATGTGGGAAAGTCCGTCTCTGCTGTCCCAGATGACTCATCACAGAGATGAGTTTTTGTAGCTCATCCGTTCAGGCAGACTTTTTTTTTTTTATATAAGGGCTCTGTCCTTCCGATGCAGAACACTGCAGAGAGCTGTCCAGTTGCAATAGGGAACATTCTTTCTGTACAGCAGATTTGCTGCAAAGAGGAAGGCAATCAGCTTTATGGTGCGTGAAGAAATGGTTTGAATTGAGAGAATGAGATGTATGCTAAATGATAGGGAAAGATTTTGAAGTTGTTTGGTCACTGCAGTAGACTGCCAGGGGGTATTGTGGAGTCTGTATTGCTTGAGGTTTGCTAAAAAAAAAAACAACTTTAGATAAGCATCTGTCAGGAGTGGCTTAAGGAAAGCTGATACAGACTCGGAGCACTGAGAGTGAAGCTGATATTTTGAAGTAATGTTTTGAAGTCTTTTCCAACCTTATTTTCTGTGATTCCTATCCAAATTGCTTTTCTGAAGTGATTAGTAGGCCCTTTCTAGATCTTCTTTATGAATTTGAATTGCTGTTCTCTGTTCTGTTCTTAAATGAAAATGCAGGCTTATTTGTGGGTAACATTAGACTGAAATAGGAAGTAGAAGATCAATTGGTTTACATATCTGGCTTGTTCATGGGTTTCAACTGATTGATTTTGTTTTTCAGTGACACTTGTGTTCCACTGTCATGGCGTGTGATGTTAATAGTGCACTATTGAACTTTTCATTTGCTTTCCTCATGTGTGGCAAGATATGGTACAGTAATTGAGCTTTGTATCCCATATATATAACTGAAATATAAAGAATGGCTGTTTATTTAACACCCCAGCCATAAGCAATGTTGTGTCTTCTCAGGAAATCCAAAGCAAGGGCTAGTTGCTGAATATTTTATCAGCAGTTTGTCTGGTATACGGATTGCAGAAACCTTGCAACCTACAGTACAGCATTGCATTAGATCCTAATGTCTCTTATCTTCCCTTTTATCATTAAAAATAAATGTTGTGTTCCTCATCTACCACTGTCTTTGTACTTTCCCCTCTTCCATTTTTCCTGGGCAGGGGTCCATCAGACATTCCTTCATATTGCCTCGCTTACTTTTTGCTTCTCTCTTTGTAGCTGCATGTTGGTCTTTGACATAGTCTCTCCCATTGCTGTGGATTGCTCATCCTCATTCCTTATGACTTTGTTTTTCAGGTTGATTTCTCATTAACTTCATTCTTCAGCTCTGTAGCCTATTTGATTTTCATCTGCTAATCCTCATTTCTGTTTCTGAGAGAAATGATTACTTCTGTTTTGATTCTGCCAGCCATCTTATCTGAGTACTGCACCTCCAGGTCCCTTTCTCATGACTGCCACCTCCTCTTATTTGTGATAATGCACCTACCTGTGACTGATAGTTGAACAGGGTAGATTTCTTTGTTGTCTTCTTCCTGACTCTTATTTCATATTCAGTTATCCACTTTCGCTACTGAATACATTTCCCAGTTCCTTTGCTTTGCAGGCTGTCTAAAGCAATGCCTCAGGCCTTTTCCTGTATCTCTTCCCCTGCGGAATCTAAAGATTTCCAGAGAAAAACTGATTAGAATTGACTTGTTTACCTTTGCTCAGTACTATTGATTGCTGCTTACAGAGATGGATTTGCATGTTTGCCTTCTGCTTTTCCTCGTTTTTAACTACTTAGTCTGACCCCAAAGCCCCATTCATTCAATTTTCCTGTTTTAATTCCAAATTACTGGGTTTTACCTCTTGCTGCCATCTTATTCCCTTCCTAATTTTGGTCTGAGTTACTATTATCAGTCCTTAGCTGACAGTCAGCTCCAGTCTGCTTCCCTTCTTTTCCAAACTCCTGAATGGAAGAATGTATGTTTGTCCTGTCTCTTCATACTAAATTAATTCCAATCCATATTCTGTGTTGTGCTGAAATTGTCTTCAGTAACGGTTCTACAAACTTCTTCTTCTGCCCAAGTTGAAAGGATTCCCCTTCTTTCTTACCCTCCTTGACCTCTTTCAATACTGTGTGTAATCCTCTGCCACATGGTGTCTTATTTTCCCTGGGCAGTCTGTGGTATCACAGAATATTTTGAGTTGGAAGGAACTCACAAGGATCATCGAGTTGAGCTCTTAAATGAATATGAGGATATGCCTGCTGAGGCACTTAGAACAGGTATATTCTTTCCAGTTAATTTCTTGTTTCCATTTTGGTCTTATTCCATGTTTGCACGAAGTTCTTCTACTTCCCCTGGTGTAGTATCTGCCCTTGTTCTTTATCATTGCAACCAGAGTTCCTGTTTGCGTGTTTCTCCTTTTTTGTATTAAAACAGTGTCATCATCTTTTTTTTCTTTAGGGGTTTGTGCTATTCTATACTTATTTCGTTTCACTAAGCTGTAATTATTTTTGTGCTTGCTGTCTCTTGACACTATCACCATCGTGAACCTTGAGCTTGCTGAGAAAATCTTGTGCGGTGTCCGCTACATCCTCACACTTGTCATAAAGCAGTCTGGGTACTCATAATTAATTACCATGACCAGATCTTCCTAACACTTTTTTGAATTGTAGTTTAGCCAAAGTGTGCTGGCCTATATGAGATGAAGACCTGTAAAGGACAAGAGAAAGAAACCCCACCTCTGTGTATCTCCTCTCTGGCACTGCTGTTAGTTGCCAGTACCTTAATGTGATTTCAGCCCACTGTCTTCTCTTGGCCATATCTTTGTCATGAGATGTGTGTTTTCTCAAGGTGGGTGCTTCTGTCTAGGTGGATCTCTTTCATTGTGGGTCTGCCATGCAACAGAAGTTAAGAAGTTTCTGCTTACTTTTGATAGAGGTTGTTCTGGTTTGGTGGAGATGTTGGTTTTTTGTTTTCGTTGGGTTTTTTTTGTTTGTTTGTTTTTGTGGTTTTTTTTTGGTGGTGGTTTTTGTTCCTTTTTTTGTGGGTTTTTGTTTGTTTGTTTTGTTTTTTATTTTTGTTTGGTTGGTTTGGGGTTTTTTTTGGTGCATGCGGTTCTGGAAATTATGTTCTCTACCTAATGTACACATCTTTTGAGCAAATGGTGCTGAAGTTCTGAGTTAATAGAACAATTAAGTTTCTATCAGATCTTTAGTTTTATTGAAGAAGAAAAATGGAATCTGTGGTTGAATGACAGTATTCTCTTCTCTTGCGTTTCATTCTTCTTCATCAGTGATATTTTCTGCTATCTCACAGCATTAATCCATTATAAAACTGGATTTGCAGGAGGTAACTGTTGGAGTTCATCACTCTTATGTCACCATAACTGTTAGGCTGCACTGTAAATCCATTTGTTCAAAGTAATCTGTAACAGACTTTTTCTAAGCAAGAAAACTTGCACTACAGTGTAACTCAGATTGCTCTGCTGATCTAGTTTATAGCACAGTTCCATAAAGTTTGCATTGTTATATCTGAGCAGACAGACATTAATAGATCATGAAAGGGAACGAGGTAGGGGGAGAGGCAGACCTTAAACTGCTTTCTCATGGGACATTTGTGATACATAATCCATTCTCCCTTCCTGCTGTTCTGCAGTTGGAGTGGCTGATTGGAGTTAAAAGGTGTTTATTTTGGCAACATGTTGTAGGGAACAAAGCAACTTATTGAGATCTTTGTGTTGGGATTGGGAAATACTATGTGTGTGTGTTTATTTTATCCCTATAGCTTTTTACATTAGTGACTTAATCCAAGAT